GTTCAATCTGTTACACCTTGTATATTAATACATCAATGGTTCACTTGTAAAATATTTTTGTAGACTTTTTTACTTATGTCTATTCAATTTATAATTTATATAGATAACAATTATTGTGAGTTACACACACAGCATACAGAATAAACATACTGTAACTACACATAAATACTTAAAATGTAAAAATTATCTCATTGGAATTTAGAGATTACTAACGAGGGATGTAGAGATAAAATGTCGAGTAAAATATCAAATAATAGTATGTTGATTAATTATGTTATTTAATTATTGATAGTTGAATTAAAAAAAAAAAAATATCATTCAATAGCAATCATGAATATTACAAATTTTGAACTATAGCATGCCACATCAAAAGAGTTTGTGAGCCTTGTGTTTAAAACCACTGCCTTATCTTTATTGTAGGTAGGTAGTTGCCAGTTGGTTATACTTAGAGTTGGGCATAAAATTAAAAAAAAAAAGCATGCATCAATACTCCATATTTTATATTATACATTTGAAATTTATTTTATTTTATTAACTTCCTATTAATTACCTATAAGTATTATTTCTTCATAGAAACTTAGAAAGTTTTAAATATTAAATAATACAAATTATAAATTTATAACTAAATAGGTATATACATTACATCATTCAAAAATTATAAACTCATTACTTATAAGTTATAACTTTTCATAAAATTACTTTTACTCATATTTAGGTACCTAKTAAGTGCATATTTCACGAGAACAAAAATTTTAGTTTAGTTCTTATTTGTATCATTGTATGACTGTAAGAGTAAATAATTACAGCCATATAAGCACATTAAGAGTAGGACCACACATAGTAGTTGGGCTGCAGCAGTTAAATTACATTTTTTTTCAAATCATCTTGCAAGTTATAAAATTATTATATATGGTAAATGATACTTGATACTTTAAAATTGTGTATCATGGTACAAGATACAGTTATATTTTTACTCCCCAACCCTGGTTATACTGTAATACTTCATAGTTTATATTTTGTTAATTATCATTTATCTGATTTTACCATACTTCATAGTAAGGTAAAAAAAATGTATTTTTATTAATTTCAAATTATAACATAGTACTAAGTATATTTATATTTTTTTTTCAGGTCTTGTGTAACTCAAGATAGTGTATTACAATGTTCAATTTGTATGTTGACAAATTATACTTGAAAAAAATACAAATTTATTTGACCAAACATGGACGGCGTGGATGTACAACGATTGTTCAGTCCAGTTACATTGTTACCTAGACGTTTAAATTTCAGTGACTCGGATGAACCTTGTCTTATTGCTGCCAACATACAAGAGTCTCCTAAAACACCACCTAACCATGTACAATATATTCCACCCTTGACACCTGCCAGTCGTAAGCATCGGCCTATAATTCCATTAAGGTTTGCTGAGCATTTAGCTTCACCTTCAAAAGCTGATTCACCTCAAAAAGATGAGTTATCATATTCACCCCCTATAAAGAGGATTCGTGTTCTTAAACTTGAAGAAGGCATATTGGATCGATCTCAATCTATTGCAAAATCTAAATTATCTGAAAATAGAAATTCATGTCAATTGCTCAATGAATCAACAATATCTAAACCTAAACAATTTAGTATTAACCCATTCTCTCCTGCAGCAACTGACTTACGGTTAAAATGGACAAATAACAATAACAATAATAATAATAATGAATCATCAACACTTGACAACTGGTCTAAAGATTTAACAAATGTTGAGCTAACTGATCTAGAAGTATCCAGGTATTTTAAAGAATTCAAAGTGGAAGATCTTATTGGAAAAGGAGATTTTGGTGAGGTTTATAAGTGTACCAATATGCTAGAAGGAATGCCATATGCTATTAAGAAAACACTTAAAAAAGTAGTTGGAACTAGACGAGAAAATTATGCCCGTAAAGAGGTATATGCTAATGCTGCTTTATTTAGTCACCCAAATATAGTTGCTTATCATTCTGCATGGAATGAGAGTAATTCAGTCTTTATACAACTAGAATATTGTGATGGTGGAAATCTAGATGAAATGATATTTACAAAGCACCACAATTTCAATGATGCTGCCATCGAGCGTCTATTATCTCATTTAGCAAGTGGTCTTCATTATATGCATATGTCAAAAATGGTACACTTGGATATAAAACCTGCAAATATCATGATAAGTCATTCTAAGTTCCTGAAAACTGATGAAGATAAAGTTGATAGAGATATAATTTACAAAATTGGTGATCTCGGTCATGTAGCACATACAGACAATTTAAGTGATGTGGAAGACGGCGATGGCCGATATTTACCTAAAGAAATGTTAAGTGGAAAATATGATAGTTCAACAATAATGAAAGTTGATATATTTTCATTAGGAATGACTGCATATGAAGCCATTTCAGCTTTAAGGTTGCCAAGTGATGGACCAGAATGGCATTTTTTAAGGGATGGATTTGTACCAGATATAGAAGATTTTGGAATTAGTTTACTTATAGCAAATATGATTGATCCAAATCCTCTCAATCGGCCAAATGCTATTGATGTATACAAGAATGTTACATTAAAAATGTCAGAGTTGGCTGAGATCTCTACTTTACAGTTTAAAAGGGAATACTTGGCCAGTTGTACAGAAACACGATCTACTCAATGTTGTCCAACTACAAGAAATACCTCTACCTCTAAGCGAGTCCCTATAGCTTTAAGCACATGGCATAAGAGGCGCCTGGTTGGACAAAAATCGAAGCGCTATTATTCATTTTGAAAGTAAAATATTGTAACTTACTAACTCTGTTTTTTTCTTTATTTAGATTGTAACTTAAACTCTGTGATGATAATTATAGTTTTTTTTTTGTGCAAAGGGTCTCAAATTATTTTTTTATAAAAAGTTTGTGAATTTTTTATTGTATACRTTTTATGAAAATATGTGATTTTCTATAGTTACGCTAGTTATAAATAACATTAGTTATTTGCGGCATGATAAATATTTCTTCATCAGAGGCTGTGATACAGCACTCTTTAATATTATGATTTATGTTTTATTATTTTTGCTCAGTGTGCATATAAAAATAAGTTGTCACATTGTAATTATACTTCTAAAATTCATTTCGGCAATATTGTTTAAAATTGTATAATTACAAACTATTGTTAAAGTCCTTTAAGTACAGAAAAAAAGGAAAATATATCAATTAAATCTTAAATTAAGTACTTCATGAATTACATAATATTATAAAGTCAACCTTCTCATAAGCAATTAACATAACAACTAGTACTGTTTTACTTTTACAGCATTAGATACATTATATTTTGATATCAAGTAATCAAAATTTAATGTATATGTTATGTTTATATTTTATCTTATAATAACTATACCTAAATTAAATTCTAATTACATAATAGTTTTAGTTTTTATAATTTTGATAATTTTTAATAATGTACTGTCCGAAATGACTTTGAACGTATAACATTATTAGGGTCTTGGTATTATTATTATTATTATTTTTATTAACAAAAAATGTTTTTAGTTTTATTATTATATAATATGTTGAATAATAATATAATCTGTTTTTCACCTATTTTAATATATTTTTTTTTATAAAACTCACTTTATTAATGTTTCAAATTATGCCCATATTAAAAAAAAAAAAACTAAAGTGCATTATAGATTATTTACTATATGCATGTCTTTAAGTTTTATTTATGTTTTTACATTAAGTTTAAAACCGTAATATTTAAGATTATTTTCTCTTCAATGCCAACAATAATACTAGCGTAAATACTATGAATATATTAATAACTTGTAATTTATTATTATTGTTAATACCTAATAACAATCGTTTTAATGCGTTTAAGTTTATGTTACATTGTCTGTTTATTATGCATTATAATTTATTAGTTAAACAAAGTTACTGAACTGTTAAAAAATACCTATGTTCATATTTAATGTTAAGATATTTGTATGTAACAATTGATGTTATATTTAATTAAAAATAAACAATTAACACCAATATTTTCAATTTATTTATTTTAGATATTATATATGAGCCATCTGGTTAAGATAGTTATTTAAGTGTAGTTAGAGTTTTAATTTCTATTGCTGTAAATATCTACTGAAACCATATATATATAATTTTGTTGTAATACGAATAGTAAATTTATTTATGAGTAATCGGGTTCTGAATGTAAATGGTTATTTTAATTTACATTTGTGACACAAAGCAGACTTGTATTTCATTTGGTGGGGCAAAGTATAAAAATTAGTTACTACCATTACCCACCACCCATATAATTATATTGTTAATTCATTTTTCATAAAATCACCATAATTAAATATAGGGATGGTCAGACGAACCGCCCCATTAAAATACGTGTTTGGCGCCACTGGCATGAAGACACTTTTGTGATACCCTTAAAAGGAAATAATTGTAAGAAAAAAAAATKTGATTTTCTTATTTAATAAGTAATTCAATGATATGTGTATCATGGATTATACATTTTACCCATAAAAATATAATTTGTTCAGAAAATAATTAGTTTTTCCATCTATGGTTATAAAATGTATTTTAATAAATTTAAATCTCTTATGTTCTTTTGAGTTTTCCAAAATCAAGATACAAGAGACTAATTGCTGTGATATGTGAATTTTCAACTGTTATTTGGGTCCTGTACTCCTGTGAATCTACTCTTTAGTCTAATGAATTGGCCATTATAGGTATAAACACGGACAACGATATCTTAGCACGTGGCTAAAGATATTATTATTTATTTCCAGACCATGTAAATATAAAACTTATTGGTACCYTCAATCCGAGATCTTGCCTTCAATCGGAATATTTAATCACAGTTCGCGATTTAGAAAATATTAAATAACACAGATATGAAATATTTTATATCTGTGTTAAATAAAAAGATTATCTCACCATGTTGAAATTAATTTGATTGTTATCAATTATCATTTATTTTCTCATCATGTTATCAAAGAGGCTGGAACACGTTAGTCCTAACTCCTAACACGAATCTTGAGTCTTCATAAATAGTCTTGACTCTTGAGCACTTTGAGCCGATAATATACGATGTAGGTATTAGGTAAATAGTTACTACCTATTCGCTATATTGCTTCAAGTCATTGTCCTTACTTTTTAGTTCTTTCAGTCAAAGTGTACTTGGGAATTTCTTTAGTCAATAAGATTCCTTCTAGTGTTTTCACTCTTCAATTTTTCATAACTTATATTACATATTTTGCTTAGTGTTCTTTTAATTCTTTTAGACGTATTTCACGTTAATTAATTAAAAACTTTATCACGTTAAGACGTTAACCGTTGTTATTATCATTAGATTAAGACATTAAATATTAAAATCAATGTTATCATTCACAAAAATAATAGCATGTGAATAAATTAACTTTATTGTTTGAACTTTTGAAGTTGACATTTAGAATTCGSAACTACAGGAAAGACAAGTAAGATAAAGGATTGTTTTTATTTCTCATCTCAGTTTGACTTGACAGCTTTTATTTGTATTTTTCACTGTGTAGTTTGTGAATTATATATTTATTTTTTTTATCATTTTTTTTTTTAGGAAATTTAAAAACAGAATTACAGTTACTACAATATTCAACATGAATCCTACTTTGTCTATCAAGTGCATACCGTATATTAATGGATCAAAACGTAATTGTATTAGGGGTGTTTATTGTCTAACTAGGCGTTTTAAATCAGATGATGATAATAGTTCAAAAAAGAACCAATTAGCTGTTGACAAACTAAATAATCTTTTAAAAACCATGAAAAAGGGGAATGACACCATAATGCCTCCTCAACAATCTAAACCTATTGAATTAGCACAACCTAGAAAGTTGGCGAGAAAAGCGGAACAAAATAAACAAGAAATTGATGATTCTAAACAGAACCAGCCATTGGGAGAAAAATTATCTGATGCAGCCACTAAAGTTGCCCAATCAATTGGAGGTGACACCAAAAAAACTAAATCGGATTTATTGAATTTGCTGAGAATTTATAACAATGAACCTAATGATTCCTCTGAAAAAAAGGCAAAATCTTCTGTTCAGTTAGATGATCTACTATCAGGAATGAAAATTGACCGTTCCCAATCTAAAAAGTCTGTGGAATTTAGTGATGTTGATAGAGCCCAACGAGTAAAAGAGTTATTAGGCTATAGTTCAGGTGATTATCAAAGAACTAAAAAATACAAAAAGCCATTGGATAATTATGTGCCTATTAATTTATTTAGCAGTGAACCTCTTGGTATATTTAAAAACTTTGAAAAAAACAAAGAGATTCTAATATTGCCTACTTGGGATAAATTGCATGAAAAGAGTTTGCAGATAGCAGTAACACACCCACCAAGAAATATTTATGAACAAATGATTATTTGGACAGAACAAGGAAAGTTGTGGAAATTTCCTATTGATAACGAACAAGGTATGGATGATGAGAGCAATGTGTTTTTTGCTGAACACGTGTTTTTAGAACCACTAATTGAAGAATGGTGCCCTAAAAAAGGACCAATCAGACATTTTATGGAATTAGTATGTGTTGGCTTGTCAAAAAATCCATTCCTGACTGTTGAAGAAAAAAAAGATCACATTAATTGGTTCAGGCAGTATTTCTATGAGAAAAATCAATTATTGAATGAAGTTGGTGCATTTGAAATTAAGTCATTACCAGAAAATGTCAAGGAGTATTATAAACCTTCAATTCCAGATGAATAAAATAAAATGAATAAATAAATATTATTGTAGTGCAGAGCATAAAAATAGTGAATAAACTATTTTACACCATACGTCTTGTTTTTTTAATTTAAATTGGCTAGTTTTTTTTAATTATAGATGTAATAAAATCATTGTTGGTTAAAATTTAGAATGACATATTTCTAGATTTTTAATGGAGCACCAAGCAAGGAATGTGCAATTGGTTTTCCAATTACCTATGTATTTTAATTTATACTTTATGCTTTATGACTTGTTATAACAGACAATTTACTTCAACAATGCTATAGTTTTCTCCATGTTGGCGGCACTTCAACGAAAATTGTTCAACTATAACATTCATGAATTTAATAAAGAAATGCACAAAAGAAAAATTTTCCTAATTTCATTAATAATGAATCTTGTAGAAGAAAATGTATATGAAATAAAGAAAAAGTAATAAATTCGGGTTAATTAAGGTATTAATATAGGGTTTTCCATTCTATAAAATTAAAATTAAAATAGTAAAATAGTTAGCACTTACCATTCAAAAATGTTCTTAATTGCTATTGATCAATTAATATAAATAATGTGTAAAAATGATCGAAGTATAATAAATTATACATCTAATATTACATATGGTTTATATTTTTGTAATATCATATTTAAAGATTATTATCTTTTGTATAAACATTTTCAAGAAGATCATCCTCTAAATAATTTGCAGTAAAAAAGGAGGTTCTAATTTAAAGAATAGAAGTTATTGTCACACGTCGCCGTGTCGGACATTCCTTAGGTAGTACAAAAATCATCAGAAATTTAAAAATACTGTTTTTAGGAGTACTTATTAAAATAAATGTAGTATTAAAGGAAAAAACGGGAGATCATTCTTAAAAAAAATCCCCTGTATACAATATACTCACTATAATTTTTTTGTAGATAGTATGTCAGGCCTTTGCTACGAGAATGTATTGATCATAGCCATTATAACACTATGATTAATGAACATAAGCTATCAAATTCAGAATTATTTTTTAACTTTACCAGAATGTTGCCAACTACATTTGAAGAACTGGTTATTTTAATGGGCTCATCTCTTAAGAGAATCCATCCAAAACCTGATATTCTATCAGTCGAAGAAATTTTATCAGCCACATTAAAGTTAGTTTTATATAATATTTATGTAAAAATATGACATCAAATAAATCATTAAATAGACATTTAGCTGCTGGTGAAAGCATGACTGACATAATGTTTAATTTTTAAATCGGCAAATCTACTATTTCAAAAATAATTTTAGAATGCTGCAATTGTTTGTGAGATGTATTAAAGATGATGTAAGCTGAGGTAATTATAGTATTAAATAAACATAGATAATAGTACCTAAATAAATTCTATACTAAACTTAATTGGTAATATTTTTAGGTGTTATTTACACCTACTGAAGAAAGATGAAAAAAATTGTACATCAAGTATGTACATTTTTATTTTAAGAAAATTAAAATATAAAAAAGCCAATCGTTTTACTTAGAATTTAATGATCAATTCATATTAAATGCACAATGTTTGGTAAATTATATTGTTATTGTTTAATTTTTTTCAGGCATTTCCAAATAGTGGTTCTATCAACCACAATTACAAAGGCACACTTAGCATCATTCGTTTGTGATGCCAATTATAATTTTACATGACATGACACATTGTGTTGATATTGGAATGCCTGGCAGGTGTAGTGATGCGGGAGTTTTCGTTGCGTCTTAAATAGCCAAATAGGTAAAAGGGTACTAMAGAATGATTTTAATTTTCCTGAAGACCTGAACCTTCACCTATAAGTGAACATTTTGAAGACTGTCCTTATTTCATTGTGGCGGACAAAGCTTTTCCACACCCAACAAATTTAATGAGACGAGACTATATCCCGGAAGAGCAATTGAAAAATTATCTTTGAAATCTACCATTTTCAACTATAGGTGATTTATTGAGTAAATATTAATAACTACTAGAGATTTGATTGAATATAAAATCTGTATTAACAAATTATATGGACATTTTAAACCATTTTTTTGATATTTTCAGATAGAGCCCAGTAAAAAGATGCATAGAAAATTGCTTTGGAATATTAGTGTCAAGGTGGCGTATATACCAAAGAGTAATTATTGCATCTGAGCAAACTGTGATGAGTGCCATCAAAGCAATAGTGGTTCTTCATAATTTAATTTTAAAAATAGAAACTGAGTCAGGTAATACAATGTTTTTGTTAACTAATGTATACCAAAATTGTATATATAAAATGGTGGTTAACTCTTTACATGCACTTTATTTTTTTCTATTATGAAAATCATTTTTATTTTATAGGAATACACACATATTACTCCTCTACAAGTTTTGGCGAAACTGAAATAATTGCAAACCAAAATTCAGCCAGTTTAGTTCCAATGGGTCAAATGGGAACAAATTTTTATGACAATAACTCAAAAGAAGTTAGGTCAAAATTAACTGATTACTTTGCTACAGAAGGTAGGGTTTCATTTCAGTATGGAAATGTATAATGCAATTTTATAAAAACTCTAATACCTATTAATTACAAATAAAAATATTTTATTAAAATAATAAAAAAAAAACAATGTTTACTTATTAACATAACATTAAACAATCAAATGAAAAACATTTCTTCATCATTGAACTTTAGTCGAATAAAAAATAAGATCCGTAAGTATTAAAAAGAGGATAAGTCGTGTATGTCTGTCACTCTGCTGTACAGTAGGTTCAAGACTTCAAGTAGGTTACTATAATAGATGGAATTAAATTTGAATCCAATGATATTATATCATTGTATACGAAAAACTTTTCTGAGCGGAGATGGTTTATCTGTCAAGGATATATTATTGATAATTAAAATTTTCAAATCTTAGATTTAAAAAGAAAAACTTTATGAATTTCTATTTAAGATAATTTGAACATTGCCGTAATTTTTATGTGTTTAGTCAAAATTTGAACTTAAAATTCCTATAAAAAAAAATCATGCAGTACCTATGTATGTTTAATATTTTTCAACTGCTATTGTAACAATATGTTAGGTGTCTTGAATTAAATTTTCAAGGTTTTCTACCCAACAAATACATTTTTATTGATATTTATAGAAAAAAAAACTAAAAAAATTGAAAAATTAAAATGTCAGTAAACAGCTCAAAACAAATCAAAATATTTTGAAAATTTTATCAAATATTTCAATGCCTATATAAACATTCAGTGAAAATTTCAAGTATCTGCGAACATTTGTTTTAGAGTTACACCAAAATAAGAAAATCGCTAATTGAGAAATCTAGTGAAAATCCAATGCTCATAAAAATTTAATTTGAATTTCTGGTGGAAATTTTTTTTGTGATAAAGATTGACAAACTTGTTAGAAATCTTGTATTAAATTTTCAAATCTTAGATTTAAAAAAAATTTTTTTCATGAATTTCTAGCTTTTTGCTAATTTTTGTGATTTTTACGTATTTTGTCAAAATCCAAACTTTGAATGCTTATAAAAAAAATTGTGACTATGAATTTATTTTATTTTTCAACTGCTAGTGTAACAATATGTTAGGTGCCTTGTATTAAATTTTAATCCCAATTATTGAGATATAAAACTTTATTAACCTTCCYAAAATATTGGGAATTTTTTATTTTTTACCCCCCACAGTACAAACTAGATTTACTTTCTGATTGAACAAGGTACTGAAATCGAAAATCGAAGCACTTTTACTGCCTCAAAACGTGATGACACACATACAAAAAAAAAACACATGGTAAAATCAATATACATTCCTCGCTTCGCTCAGGATCTAAAAACTAATCATTCATTTCTTCAATGACAATAGCAATCAGTTTTCCTTGAAGAATTATTTTTTAGTTTTTGATAAGACTGACATTAAACTTACTAAATATGAACCAAACTTGGTATCATTGTTGGACTCGGGCTCAATAAATACAGGATCCAATGGTGGAATAGGTCTAGGTCTACTATACTTTAGTTCTTCAATAATCATCTCCATAGCAGATTCTGTAGAAAATAAACATACAAAATATTTCATTGATAGGTCAGTTTCAAGGAAGAAATACAGAAAAGTATAAAAACACATACTTTTAAGACTTCCTGTCTTTTTTTTCACTTGAACTATTTATATAACAATTAGTGTACAATAAAATAAGAATATATGTTTACATTTCTAAGTAATTAATTTTTTTTTACCATTTTTCAATCATCAATACTTCATCTAAAAATCTTAATATGTTAAAATAAGGCCATTCTTTTTTAGCTTCTGCTGCACCACTTACTCCAGCTTTCTTTTCTCTAGTATATTTTAGTTCAAGATAATTCCAGCTGTTTTTTAATCCCTGAATAGAATATTTGCCTAAATATTGAAAATGTATCATGAATAATTTACAACAGCATATGATTTAAGAAATTTATCTACCATCAAATTCAGTAAATATTTTGATCCATAAATTAATTTTTCTATTTTCTGATCTTTCTCCCAAAGACATTTTGTGATTCCAAAGTGGTCTGCTTACGTCTACTGAAGTTATGAAATTTACCATAGGTATGTTCTTTAGAAACTCCTAAAATTATATGACATGTACTGGAATTTGATTGTTCTTTAAGAGTATCTATATTCATCATAATAAAACAATAATTATCTATAAAGAAAATTAGTGATTCTTCATCAAACTCATCATCATGATCTGATAAGGAATGAGACCAATAAGAAAAGAATTAGAGTTGGCAGTTGGAAGAATCTTTTTAACAGTACAAACTTGTCTAGGCTTTTGTACTAACTGAGTATTATCTATAAATATTAAATAGAAAAGCTGGTTGTCAAAAAACTTAGGAAATTATTGTTTTTATACTTAGAGAACAAACATGAATCTTCATAGATTCGACTACAAACGCATTACAGCTAAAACAAAATGTTCCCTTAAAGTAATTAAGCATTAAAAGCATTAATAAATATGAAATGGGTATTAAATACATTAACAGTAATTTTATCAAAGCAAGAAGATGTTTCGTCTTTTGGATTTCTGGATTTTTATTAATTTTTGAAACACATCATTATAATAAAATTTACTAGGTGTGTTAATATTTTTCAACATCAGGATAATGATGATTACTGATTAGGTTACCTTTAAATAGGCTAAAAAATAATTAAACAAAAATTTTTTTTTAATATTTAGATTACTCAATCTTATATCTCATTTTAATATTTTATGCTTATAAAATATTTTGTTACATTACTTTTTATATATTAGAATGGAAATATTCTATGATTCTATAATTTTTTTTCGCTAGCCTCTTTTTTTTAGATTTTGGGGGGCCATTGCTCCCATGCCCCCTCCCCTTGTATACCTGTCCAAAGCATGGTTTTTAGTTTTTTTGCTAATGATTTTGCGAATCAATTTTTTGAAACTTCAAAAACTTTTGGGATCAGAGGAAATTACTATTGTTGTATCATTGACTTTATATAAATGTATCAATCAGATATAAGTTCTGATTTAACAAGTAAATTGCTATTAATCAAAGAAATAATAAGAATTTAAATAGTAATAATAAAAACACAATAAATAAATAGATAATAATTAGTATTAGATGTAGATAATATATATTATTAAAATACAGATATTTATTTCCTTAGAAACATAAAATACTTGCATTTATAATGAATGATAGAATAGAATATAGTCATACAATATAATAATAATTTTATTAACAAAAAAAAAAAATGTCTATAGCAAGATTCTATATTATGTACCCTAGGTCCCTAGAGCTATTTTTTTTTTTATTCAAAAACCATAAAAAATTACATAGGATACAAAAAACATTGAGTTAGATTACATGAGCTATAGAGCCCAATATTTAATTTCGCCCTGGGGCCCTAAATAACCAAGTTGCAGCACTAAATCATTTTTAGTAAATTTGTGTCAAGCAATTAACAAAGCCACCTTCTTAAATCTCTCTGACCCTGGTGACAATATAACAAAGCAAATAAATAAGTTATTAGTGAATGAGTACTTACAAAGACAATTTAAGAATTAAATTCAAACTATAAATGTTCTACACATTTACAAAACCCAAAATAAATTGAATGTATATTCAGATATTCTAAAACTACTAAACCTTTATTGCACTGAATAAATTTACAAAGACTTATGTAGGCGTATTTTAATATTGATGGACTGTTTAAAAAAAATATTCTAATTCTAGCATACAAAACAGTATAACTTTTGAAACTTTAAAAATTAATTCTAAAATTGGTATAATAATGTACTTATTAACTATTAAGCTAATTAATCTTTAAAAGTAATTATTTTTTAATATTATGTAAATTATGTTTTATATATGTCCCATTGTTTTTCTCTTCTCTAAAATAACTTTAATAACAATTTAATTTGTATGTTTAATCTTAGGTGTTCCTCATCTCTAACCTGACACAAGCTTTGCTACACACTGGAGCGGTGGCGTTACGCAAGATACATTTCACCACGACAGTAAAATCAAACGCCTGTGAAATGTCTAAAAAAGTACATGTACATTAAAATTTTTTTCAAGTGAATATCAAATGGCATCGACAACTCTATGCACTTGGTKAATTTTAAAATGGAACAAGTGGGTACTGCGAAAATCGAACTGTGAGTGGGGAAGGATGAAATTTATGCTTGGTAAGATTCGTTTGAGTAAAAGTCTTTCTAGAATTTTGGCAAAAAAAAGTAACAGACTAATGGGCCGGAATGAGGATAATACAGTGTCTGGTGGTTTATTAGGTTTTGGAACAAGAGGATTATGATTGAAAATTTCCACAGAATCGGGAAAAATGTGAGTTTAAAAATGGAGTTAAATATATGTGTAAGGTGGATGATTGCTTTTTCGGGCAAACATCTAACAACTTCGGCTGTAATTAGATCGAATCCAAGAGATTTATTAAGAGGGTATTTATTTAAGGCGTATATCACTTCATTTGAAATTAAGTGTTTGACTGGTATAGTAACTGGAAGAGGAGACTTTAGAGACTCTTCCACGATATTTATGGTTTCGGGAGAGAAGATATCAGAATGAGGCTGAAATATATCAGATAAATGTTGTTTAAATAATTCAGCTTTATTGGGTTATTGAGTAGAAATTGGCGAAGCGATTCTGCCATTAGTCGTTATTAACCACAGACTAAAAATACTACAAAAAAAAAAAAAAATAGATAAACTGGTTACTGGACTGGAAACGATAAACGGGTGGAGTGCGCCGCCGAGTGCGGGTACTCAGGGTAGCCGGAATCACAGATTCACAGTGTAACGCTTGCAGTACATGGACAAATGTGACTCTATCTATTGATAATATTTAGCATTTGTTATACATATATTTATTTGCATGTTATTTCTATTTATAATTACAATAGTTTAATACATTTATACACACCTATTAACTCTTGGGTTTGGCGTTTGGATATAACTATATTAGCATTTTAATATGYATACTATTTTAATGAAATTTTAATATTTATCCTCAAGTATTATATCACAACAAGAATGCGACAATATTCCAATGTGGAAAATAAAATCCAACAAAAATAAATTCAAAGAAAAAGAAGTATGCTAAATTAGTTTTAAAAAAAATAGCATTTAATTTACAATTATTTTCAACAATACTTTAAAATTGAATCAATACACTGTATATTAAGTACTATGAATAAAAATTAATTTTAGTTGGATATATTATAAGCACATGCATAAATAGTGTTTGAAATCTGGGGGGCCAAAGCTGTAGCTCAGATCAGGATACTGAGTATTCTTATGATGCTTTTAAATTAAATAATGTGTATTAGTAGTAAAATCATTTGTTTTTTTTTGGGGGGGAGGCTAATCCCCCCCCATATTAGCACCTATTGTATATAAGCAAAGATTATTAAAGAATTAATAAAAACAAGTTACTATACTCCGTACCACGAGAGAACGCATACGGCGGCCGACCAAAACTCGTCGTTTTCGCGCATGAGCTGATTGCCGTATGCGTTCTCTGGTGGTATGGTAGGGGAAATTTGGCCTCGGTACGACGGAGCGCAATCATTCGGATGCGCCAGCCGTATGCGTTCTCTCGTGGTACGGAGTATAGGATATATTTATTTTTTAAATAGTAGTACCATTGATTCTATAATCAATGGTAGTACAGTTGTATCTATATAGCGAATAATGGTGATCACTGGACACTGATGTATTAATATTTCTTAGAATGGATCATAGATGGCGTTAAAATCGCAATCGAACCAAAAGCGTTACACAATATGGTTACACTGTAGTTCCATAGATAACTATCTCGTTACCAGTCCAGTCCTGTTTATCTTAGTCCTTGTTGGCGTATCAGCGTATCACTATTCAGTATTMACTACCTGAGTGCCGAATCTGTTTTCGGGCGGCACGACGAGCTGGGTTAGTAGCTGACTGTTTCGACCTGGTGTCCATAATTGACCATTCCAATAATTCGAATACTATCGAATAAATCGAAACCATCGAATAATTTGATACTACCCATCTCTAGTCGTATCAGGACCGAAAGAAAAGTTTCATCAAAAACCGCCAAAAGACTTAAAGATCGATATCTGATTTGACCTAATATTTTTGGTACATCATTCGGTCGGGATCCGCTGGATCTGGTCACTTGTGTACTCGACAGTCGACAGATTCGTTTATTTTGATTCATTCAGTCGCGACCATCGCAGCTCTACCATGTTCGCGGGCCTGTGTAAAAGTAAGTATTCATTTATTCATACCTAGCTTTGAATATCAAAGGTGATGTTCTGCAACATTTGATCGGTATTTGTCAGTAACCAAAATAGGTTCCAAAAACAATGAGTTGAAGACATAGACAGCGACAGAACTTTTATAATTCAAACTTAGTTAAATTTCGATCTGGACTTAATAAGATATGCAGGTACTTATTTCTAGAAACATTTCATACATTGTTAGTAATTTTTTATTACTTTTCTTCTATACGAGACTACCTTGTTGTGTGAATGTGAAACATACTCAAACATCACAATTTTGTTATCTAAGACTACTAAAGTTTGCCTACTTTTTTATTATCACAGACTACCTCATTTTTATTTATATTTACAAATCATATTTAATTCTTTGTTAATGTTTGTATTGACTTGTATTGTTGGCTACACTTATTTAAGTCCATCGTTATTTTCTGAAGATTTTTGAAAAAAATATGGAATTTTTCTCGCTTCGATTTCGTCTTACAATCATTCTTCTAATGGTGCCCTTGAAAACTTAGTTCACGCATTAAAAAAAATATTTTAAAACATATTTACAAAATTTAGATTTAGAGACAATTATTTATAAGTTAAATTTATCTTATAATTGTTCTTAATTTTTTCGTAGAATATAATTGTCTACATTGGCAATCTTGTATAGTATTCGAATATACTTTTTGAAGTATTCTAAATACTTTTTAAAAACATTTTTAACATAATATAAATACTTGTATTTAAATACCATATGGTTCATTTTATTTATTATTTTTGACATCAACAAAAATAATATTGTTTTTGTTGAAATAATATTAAATCGGCTTAATCTGTAAGTCTTAACTCCAAAAAAGTAATTTCATATTTATTAATACCATGAGCATGGAATATCAAAGATACATTTTTATATAATTGACTAGGCTATAATATAATTATATATAAAAAGAATCAATATATTAATGAGATTAAAAACAGAAAACATTTCGTATAAAAAAAGTAGGTGATTTTAAGGTATAAAATTTTCAAAATGCTACACTAATTTTATATGAATTCTGTATTGGATTTTTTWAAATAATTTCWTATTAGTAGTTAATACCACTTTTTATTAATATCACTTTTTTTTTGTAATTTAATTGTATCAATAAGATTTAGATACCTGAACATGTATTTACATCTAAATAGTCGTCGGATATGTTAATTTTTTTTCAAATTGTTAAAATGTATGGCAAATAATAACATAATATAGGTACTGATATTAATATACAGTATACATAAAACATGTATGTTATATAGTATACAACTAAAAAAAAATACTTGTATTTGTATTCAAATACTTAGTGAGTATTCATAAAATTTATTTTTATAACAGTAGGTATTTTAAAAGTATTTTTAATACTTTTCTATTTGAATACTAGTATTAGTATTTTAATAATTTTTCAAAAGTATTTTTTATAAGACTGTACATTGGAGATATCCTTTTAMTTTTGCCATAAACAAATATGGTATTGTATTCATATTATGATATAAATTTAGAAAATGCAAAAAAGAATTACAGATGGAATAAAAATAAAAGTTTTTGTATCAATAATAAAGTTTTGTTTGTTGTTAAACAATCATGGGAAAGTGTAAAAACGAATTACAGAGATAAGGTTCTATTTTGAGTTATTATTAAGGTATTGTGATAGCCACGTTAACAGAAGAAGTTGCATTAATAGTGGTAGTCTTGTATAACAGGAAAGTACACATATTTCTTATATCTATATGTTTATATAGAAAAATTWAAAAAAAGACATTCTTTATTCGATTTGCCATGAAAAGCTCATTTGCGTAGTATTCATGCATTTTATAGGCACAATACCGTTTTCCAACCTTACCTAGGTATTACATTAACCAATTTAAACTGAAACCCATGATTAAATGGCTTGATTAAAATTTTGAATACTGTCACATTTGATAGTTAAGCATGATTAAATGGTATGGTGTGTACTGTTTTGAATTTACATTGTTATGTTTTAATATTGTAAATATGAAATATGAAGTTAAAAATGTTTACTTACAAGCATTCAAAAAAGTAAAAAAAAACTTAAAAATGATAATTTTTATAAGTGCACATATTATTTTTTCAAAAATAATATTTGCTAATGACTAAATTATGTAAAAAAAAATGGTAATTCATTTATTATTTTGGTCAAAACCTATTTCAATCATTAGTTTATTTATATTTATATTTACTTAATATTATCAACATATTTCATGTATAATTCATTTTTTTTCAGCTGTTTGAATTTTGCTGCTCAACATTTATTTCAAATTATCCTTTATGTTACATTTGTTATGGGTTTCTTCAAATCATTAAGGAACATAAAAAATTGGTTTGCTGACAAGGCTGGACTTTCTGGACCTAGAGGACCAACAAAACGTAAACATGAAGAATGTGAAACTATAAATAATAAAAGAGTGCGCATGGATGATAGCCTCGTAGAAATTGTTGAAATCAGCGATGAATCCCTATCTGAAACCGAAGAGGTGGAAATTGTTGAATCTGTGCCATCAACTGTACCGCTTAGAGCCAGTCCACCTGTTATGCTCATTGAAGGTAGGCAGCAGCAAAGAAGAACTATGTCACCAGTTAGGACAATAGATTTAACTGGAAGTAACGATGGAGATGCCAAAGTTAAAATTATTCGATCTTATAGTTTATCGAATCCAAAACTTATAAGTTCTCGAAGTAATGAAATGGTTAGAAGTGCTAGTACCAAAGCTATCAATGAAGAAAGATCTTCAATTAAAGGTAAAAAATAATATTTTATATTTGTTTTATATTTTTTAATTAATACAATTTTAATCTATAGGAACAAAACAATTAAGTTTGAGTATGGAAGGTGGATTTTCTGCATTAAAAATTAATGACACATCAACTAACGCTAACATGGATAAGTCATTTGCAATGATTTTAAAACATTATGTTACACCAAAACCAGAAACCAACATTTTATCAGTTTCCAGTTCTAGATTGTCGATGAGTAATCATAAAGAAAATACTTTAAATCAATCTAAATTATCCCAAACATCTGGTAAAGAAAATTTAGACATTCCAGAGCTAAGTCTTCATAAGAATAGAATTATTAAAAAAGAGTTATTTTATGAACGYATATTAAGAAAATTTAAAGAGAAACAAGCAGCTGCCATTTTAACTTCTGAAACAACAATCCAAAAAAAATCACCCGATGATATTTTCCAAGAAAAACTAGAGATCATGAAAAAAGAATTAAATAAAATTGAGCCACAAAAGAAAAATGAAGTTTTCCCCGGTTATTCTAAAGAAATAGCTGAATCAATTGCACTTCAAATGTCTAGTTCTTTAAATGAGTACATTGTACAAGGGAAAAATATAAAAAAAATGGATTTAAAAAGTATATATGTACATAATGCTTGGTTAAATGATGAAGTTATCAATCATTATTTGGGTATGATAGTTGATCGCGATCCAACTAACATTCACTCATTTGATACATTCTTCTATTCTAAATTATCGTAAGTTATAATATTTATAATTCTCAAATATTTAATTTTTTATTCAGCTTATTAATTATTTTTTTGTATAGATCACAAGGATATCAATCTGTTCGTCGTTGGTCAAGAAAAAAAGATATATTTGCATGTAAAAAAATGTTCAGTCCTATTCACTTGGGTAACCATTGGTGTCTGATATGTGTAAACTTCATTGAAAAAACCGTGAAATATTATGATAGTTTAGGTGGTAAAAATCCTAAATGTTTAAATATAATTTTTGATTATCTAAAACAAGAATACGAGAATAAAAAGAATGAAGAATTCAACAGTAGTGGATGGAAAATAATGGATGCTGAGGATTGTCCCAAACAAAAAAATGGTTATGATTGTGGAGTGTTTACTTGTGTAAATGCAGAGTACCTATCTCGTGATGCAAAACTAGATTTTGTACAAGATGATATGCCTATTTTAAGGAATAGGATATGCTATGAGATCTTAAACAATCGTTTATGTTATTAAACTAAATCATTTGTTTCCTACAATATTGAGTTAATTTCATTCTTATTTTTTCAAGTTCGATAGAATATCACATATGTTGGTGAGTATAACTAAGATTGACAAGAGGAATGACATTCCTCAATCACCTAATTAGTTTCTTTTAAAAATATATGAGTTTTATTGTTAATAGTTTACAGAATATTCTTTTTATTTCATATTTTTAGGAAAATGTTGAGCTAAATATGATACAATAATATTTGTTAATACTGTATTAATGTATGTAATTATGTACTAAAAATTTATACCATGAAATTGAACGCAGTTCCTATTATGTAGGACAATTTTCATGTTTAAATTTAACTGATAAACTATAGTTATTGTTAATGAATCTTTAAAATCTTTAAGTTTAAATTATTACTTAAGGCATACAATTAATTCAAAGGCTGAATATTCATTAAATATTAAATAATGTTAATCTTATTTAAATATTATGATTTGATACATAATTACGTTTATGATCTTATTTTCATATTACACTACAGTATCTTAACATTCTAGCCATGTAGAATTTTTATTATTTGAATAAATTAATGTAATTATTTAAATTTAATTGTTCAATTCATACATCTATTTATTGAATATAATTCGTTTATTTTAATATGTTTGTACAATTGTATCAAAGTACTTGGTATTTTCAATAAACTGTAAATATTTTTATCAATCATATAAAATTGTTTAAATTGTATTTTTGAGTATGTTTCAAACTAATTGTAAATATAATAAGATTCAAGAATTTAAAGGTTAATTCAAAGTAAATACAATTATATTTTACATCTTAATTTTATTTGATATATATATATAGTTTATCTTTTTAATATATTGTTGTCTAAAATGGTATTGTGTTAATTGTATTTATTCTTAAAACAATTGAATTATTGAAAGGTATTATAATATGATGTATTGTAGCTTTTCTCAATATTATATTGTACACATTTCTAGTAAAAAACTTTTTTTTTTATATAAATATTTGTTTTTATTATTAATTATTTTTTTTTTTTTAGTCTTCTATACTGTATCACAGATTTCAGCTAAAAAGAAGTTTTACTATATTAATATTAAAGTATAGAAGTCTGTGGAATCGCCGTGTAGAGTTAGACTCCCCTGGATTAAGTCTTAACTCTTAGGGGCAGTTGTACCGTCTACGGTTAAACTTCGATTACGCTTAATTAGCTGATAACAGATATTTAACCGTGCAAATTTGGCCGATTAAACTCCGGTTAACTTTAATCAGAGATGGTACAATTGGCCCTTAATGTCTTAACCACGGACTAAGATAGTATGGACTGGAAATGTACGCCTAATCATGGGTCCGCTTATGGTTATGAGTAGGCTTGTGCGGGGTAAAATGGGGCAAGTACGATTCGCGCCTTATCTATGTTTATATATAAGAWCTATAAATCATCTTTTGGAAGAATGCGGATTTAAATATGTCTTAACTTCAAAAATGAACCAGGATCGTCAGAGGTAAAATAAATGAAAGTCGTTAAAATGTTCCTAATTATAACAATAATCAGACTATTATAAATCAGATACAGAATCACGTGTGTTATAATATTACATCTGTGGGTATGTCACGAGTATTAATAAACACACTAAGTGTAACAATTGTCAAATTGCAGTACAAGGTARWGCAAAGAAATTATAAGATTATTTAATTCYTTAACTAAAAATTATTATTTTAGGTAAAACATCATTTTGTAATATGGCTGAAGCAACTCTCACAAATATTAAAACTAGAGGAGGCTTAATTCATCCAAGCACATTTTTATTCAATTTGTTGACAAACGTAGAGGAATCATTTCAAAAATTTTGCAATGATTTTGATGTTTTTCAACAGACAGTTGATGATTTTT